TACATCTGTGAATTCTCAATGCCAGGGTTGGAAGGGACCATTTCTGTATTTTGTCTGCTGTTACTGATGACTTTATGCTGTAAATTTGAAAGGCAAATGCCATATTTCTCCATTACAGGTAATCCTTGACTTACATCCACAATTGAGCACAACATTTATTTTGCTATTTTGTTAAGTGAGTTTTGACCCATTTTATGCCTTTCTTGCCACACGGTTGCTAAGTGAATAATTGCAGTTGTTAAGTTAGTAATACGGTATCCATGTTGACTTTGCTTATCCTGGGACACTGAAAGTGTCATAAATATGAACCAATTGGCAAATATCTGATTTTGATCACATGACCAAGGGGATGCTGCAACAGGCATAGGTGTGAAAAACAGTCATAAGTCACTTTTTTCAGTGCCAGTGTAACTGAGCGGTCACTAAATTAACTGTTGTAAGTCGAAGACTACCTGTACATAATTAAAGTAACAATATCTTGGATAGCACTGCCACAGACATCTCAGCAATTGAGTAAACCATTAATGATGAGAAACTTACCCAGCATTTCAGAAGCAAAGGGAAGTAATATTTTCTGGTTGGAAGTACTCAAAAAAAAAAAAAAAGTTAAGCTGTGTTAATTGCAGTGTTTATGCAAAATTATTTTTTCCAAACTACATTCTAGGGCAATCTAAAATTATTTACAGCATCTCCATTCACCTCCTCTTCAATGAATAAAAAAGCAGAAATATGACATTAGAAACAACTTGTTTCCTGCCATTTCTTGTGATAAATGCTATTGGGAAAATACTATTATGCAAACTTTAGAGCAATAACTGTAAATTCTTCAGGCTAAATTTATTTTATGGATTCTCCCTTCTCTCCTATTTTAACTACTCACACATATTGATGGTAAAGCCAAAGAGAGATCATTTGTAACTACAATTTATTTTTATCCCGCCTTTATTTCTTATAAATATCTCAAGGTGGGGAACATACATAATATTCTTTCCTTGCCGTATTTTTTCAACAACAACAACCCTGTGAGGTGGGATGGGCAGAGAAAGAGTGACTGGTCCAAGGTCACCTAGCTGGCTTTCATGCCTATGACAGAACTAGAACTCAAAACCTTCTGGTTTCTATGCTAGCACCCTCAACCATTACATCAAACTGGGTCAAATGTGACTTATCTAAATAAGAGTGAGTACTCTAAATAGTATAATTCCTAAATAATGTACCAAGGTTCTTTGCAAGGCTTGACGGGATTCACAACTGAATCTAAAGGAGCTTTCTAAAATCAAAAGTTTTAAACTCATGTAGATTAACACAAACATCAAAGTGCAACAATAAACGTGTTATTAATCTCTTTGTGCTGCCTTGGATGAATCAAATACCAAAATAATTCACAACCAATTTCAAAAATTACATTTTTGGTAAGCAAAGGCAGGGGTAATAATGCATTGCACTATATTTAGGTAGCAGCATGCTGATGAAAATATACTTTAACAGAAGAAGTAATAATATTACTTCTTTAATAAATTTTGTTCAAATAATATACATAATTCAGAATTATGGAGGTCCTAAAACAAATTTGCATGCTAACACTATTAGAATCCATTGTTATAGCTGAACTGAACGGCTGAGTTTCTATATTCAGTATTTTCATGCACAACAGATGATGTCATTGCTAGTAAATGTACACATACACTTCCCTTCTCATAATTCCTGAAATAAAAATGCTGAAGTTCCTCAACTGCCTGTTTAGACATTGTCTTAGTAAAGGATTTTTTGTTTCTTTAATTCATTTTCAAACACATGTAATAAACATTATCATTCCCAAATCAAAACGTGATTTATGTACACACACACACAACCACACAATTGTTCACTTAGTGTTTTCTGTGATTTTGTTAATCTCACAACAAGATTTCTCTGTGGTCTATAAGAGTGTCAGTCAATCCATTGTCCAGACCACAAACTCTATTCTACCTTTATTTTTCAGTAACCCAGTTTTAAAAAGGAAAATTTGTGCGAAGGAAGAATGTATTTCCTGGCATGCTTTCAAAAGAAATTACATTTAATGCATTAAATACTTTTCAACAAATTAGCATTTCTGTATTAAAGCGATATATTTCTTCAACCATGTACAACAGAAATAAACTCGCATTTAGCAGAGGACAAACATTATTTTACACACATTAAATATTACACATTTTAATTAAGATTATTTGGCATATGATAAACAAAATACACTTACCTTCTTCCTTTTAAAAATCCTGTTTTTCAGTATCGTTTTGTACTTAAGGATATGAGACTTGCATTATCCATGTGTGCATGCTTAATAGATCTGGAATGTTATTCCCGTTTTAAAAGTTTCTGCTTGCTTAATCTCTCTAGAACTTAATTACTTAGGAAGTGTGTCTTGAAAAACCATGGATCGAGAGAGTCTTAGTTGGTTATATGGCTGTGCAGTAGAAAAGCATGTTAGTTACTTACTACTAGAGAATCTGGTTCTGCCTGTTAGAGATACTGTATAACCTTTCTTCCAAGGCGGGCCGTTTTATTCTAATGAGCCAATACCAGGAAGTGTTTCACCTAACTCTCTCCTTACTGTAATTTCTACCTTGTAATGAAAATATATGTTGCTTAATACTAGTGCTTTCCTAAAATTAAGTCCCTGAACATCAAATACTTATTATGAAAACTAGGAAAACATTGAGGAAGGGAAAAATGCATTACCAAAAGTTTGCTTATGCTTTTAGTAATGTTTTATTAGTAGTTGTTAACTTCCACTTAGCTTTGTATTTTTATTCTTTTGGTGTAAACTATCAAAGCGTAAGCAATAAAAAAGGGTTTTTTTTTAATGAAAGGAATATATTGTTAACAGAGAAAAACTTCTTTGAAATTATTGCTGATAATTGAAGAGAATTATGGATTTGCTTAAATGGTCTATATGCAAACTTAGTTTTACCCATTTTGCTATCTGTTTGTTTTACCCATTTTGCTATCTGTTTGTATTGTCAAATTATTATTATATAGCTGAACCAATGGTGGGTTTCCATTTTTTTTACCACTGGTTCTCCCGTGTGCGCGCGTGTGACGCTTCTGTGCATGCACAGAAGCGTCCGGGTGGGATGGCGAAACCTCCCGCCGCTGTCACTACCAGTTCACCTGATCTGGGCTGAACCGACAGAAACTCATCTCTGAGCTGAACCAATGCATAATAAATTGAAATGCTGTGATGATGCGGTACAACACATCATTTTATTCATTCATTCAATATATAAAGTGGTGGTGTAGGAGAAGAGCAATTCTTATATAGTATTAATATTAATTATTAAAATTAATGAAAACCATTGAAAATAGTGGATTGTACTAAAGTGGAACACATCTAGGTTTCTCTGTCTGTTCTCTGTCTCTCTCTGTGTCTTTGTCTCTCTCTCTCTGTCTTTGTCTCTCTCTGTCTTTGTCTTTCTCTCTCTCTCTATCTCTCTTTCTCTCTTCCTCCCTCCCACCTCTTTGACATTAAACTCTCTGAATCATCTGGACTTGTACTCTCAGCCCAATACACTTCATAGAGTAATTATACAGATCAGCTGGGGAAGAACAGTGCATACTATACTTATCTTCTTTGTATGATTCTGGTATAACAGTTGCCTGATGCCAAAATAGGTAAATTTGCAAACTTACGTTTAGAGAAAATTTTACAGAGAAACTGCTTCTCTTCTTTTGTATATGTATCTCTAAGTATAATTTCACTTTTCTTATGCAATGCTTCTTGGTGGTATTCTACATCATGATATTCTCCATTTGCAATCCAACATATTTGGAAAAAGCACTGAGCTGAGGAAGGCTACTTTAGAGAAACTTAACAAAATAAGTGAAGTACAAGGAGAGCACTTTCTTTTTACTAAGCATGCTCTTGGTTCCAAATCAAAGGTTTTAATGCAGTTTTTGTCAGTGCTATTTATCTAGACATTTTCACCCTACAGGTGGGAAGAATGTTTGCCTAATGTGCTGGTTTGTAGTTCATTCCTAAGAAATGGAAATACTTTTCTAAGTTTTTAGTAACTTTGCTATGACTAAGGAAAATTGATATTTTTCATTGGAAGAACAAAAATAGGAAGATCAATTTTATCAACGTACAGGCTTCTGTATATTTTAAATCCCTTGTTTTTTCAAACATATCTCCTCCATTGAGTTGCCAACCTGTCTGTAAAATTAGGGCAGCTTGGAACTTATCAAACAGCTAGATCACAAGCCTGGAAAAGTCCATCCGTTACAAGTAGAGGTCTTTTTATAAACTTGCAGCTGATTCTAAGAAAGTTTGCAAGTTTCAAACTTGCAAGAACAGTTGTTTACGCTTTTTCTTTTGGATTTAACTTTTGATATCAAAATATTTTACTCTGACATAGTTGAGTTATGAAGAAAGATATACAGTACACAAACACTTCCACCACAATCCTAAGGGTATTTATTTTGAAGTGAACCCAGTGAAACTTTATCCCATAAAAAGCTCATAAGGTTGCTTTTTTACAACATAACCTTGTAAGCTTATTGTCGTCATATGATCATCAGAGTCAGAGTCAGACTTAGGTATTTCCACATAACAGATTTTCCAATATGATTTCCCACATATATTTGTTTTTCAGAGGATTATTCTAAAAAGGGCAGCATTTTCAGGAGCTATAGATTCTAGAAAGTATAATAGGAAAATAAAGCTTTAATTGCCTTCTACAGAAAATTATTTGAGTTCAGCTCACCCAGGATGGGTTCGATCAAGATATAGGCTTTCTGACATTTTAAGATTAATGAGAAAATAATTAACCATTTGTATTTATTCCACTGAGAAGAAACTGTTAATAAATAGGCAACAGCAATATTTATGTTTGGCTATGGAACAATGTTTTTTGTCTTTCCTATTATTTGTATAGATTCTGCTTATCCATATTGATTTGCATTGATTTTTAACCACAGTAGGTAGCATTACCATATTTTTATTTGATCTTTTTTCCCCTTAGATTAGCAAATAAACAAGACAAAGAAGGTGCCTTGGCAGAAGCAGATGTGATTGAATATTTATCTCTTGAAAAGCTTGTCAATGAGCACAAATGCCTGTGTCAGATTGTAAGTGCATTTTAAATAAGATTAATTTCCTTAGACATGTTGCTTGGCAGAATTTTGAAATAAAATTATGCAATTCTATCACTTTATTTTTCTCTATATCATATGCCTCTTTATGTCTGATTAGTGACGGCCATGAGAAAGATGATTTGGTTGCTTATTACTTGGATGATAAGCAAATTTCAGAATGTCATTTCTCAGAAAAGTGCTTAATGAACTATCAGTCTCTGTAATATCAGTTTTTTTTAAAGCATTTAATTTCCTGATGAAGCATACTATTCAGGTACTACTATCTGTATTTTTGGTTCCTAAACTGAGAAGGCTAATCAGTTCAGCCTTTTTGAAATTGTCTGACCTATTATGGAACCACAGCTTTCTATAAGTTATCAAAAAATTGCATCGAAATATCCATATAGTCACCAGGAGCTATGATTGATTTGAAAGACCGTAACAACAACAGCAACAACATGCTATGGAAATACAGGCTTTTGTTAATGGTTATATTTTCTACAATTCACTAATACAGGTAGTCCTTGACTTCGACCACAATTGAGCCCAACATTTATGTTGCTAAGTGAGAAATTTGTTAAGTGGGTTTTGGCCCATTTTACAACTTTTCTTGCCACATTTGTCAAGTGAATCACTGCAGTGGTTAAATTACTAACATCATTGTTAAGTGAATTTGGTTTTCCCATTGACTTTGCTTGTCAGAAGGTCACAAAAGATTATCACATGACCCCGGGATACTGCAACCATCATAAATATGAAGCAGTTGTCAAGCATCTGAATTTTGATCACATAACCATGGGGATGCTGCAACAGTCGTAGATGTGAAAAATGGTCATAACTCACTTTTTTCAGTACCATTGTAACTTCAAACAGTCAGTAAATGAACTGTTGTAAATCGAGGACTACCTGTACAATGAAGACATGATACATTGATGGGAAGGAAGATTGTTTTTGACTGGTATGCCAACATTCTCCATACAAATTTTTCCTTCCCCATATGAATGTTTTCTATAAACATCGAATGTCATTTCACTTGTGTTGAAATTATAGGTGTAGGGCTGTCAGGCACAACTGAATTTAACAGTGCAAGGCCTCCCAAATATCCCTTGAACCTATGATTGGTTTCTCTGAAGGTCTTCTTTCCATATGGTATTCTTGAAAGATGCAGATGTTGATTATACTGTCTTGTCAGTAGTGGTATATGGGATTGATAGAATACAGTTATATTAATTGTTTTGTTTTTCATATTACATTAATAATTTTAAGCTGGCGTTTCTGAAAATGGAGCAGGCTTTCTGAAAATAGAGCAGTATGTAAATTGAAGTATTAACTTGAGCTGCTTCAACAGTTGAAATAGATAATATTTGAATGAATGAATGAATGAATAATTTAAAAAATAAATTACAGATTGTGGTTATTTTCAAAGTTTGTTTTATTATAGAATTGGATTTACAGATACATTCAGTTTAATAAATGATATTGTAATTTGTTCTTGTTTCAGTTTATTTATGTAACTTACAATATTCATTTCAGTTTTAAATATACGTTTTATTCACTTAGATTAATATTTAAACTAAGTGAGTTACGATGGCAGAAAGAATGCTGCTAAAAACCAAGGAAGAATCAGAATGCTCAAGAACACATTTAATATACTTTCTGTTTTTTATTATTGTAAAGTACCAATGTTGCACTTTTATTGAATCTGGAAGTAATGAAACACAATAGATAAAGCTTCTGTCTGTCTGTCTGTCTGTCTGTCTGTCTGTCTGTCTATAGAAGATATATATGTGTGTGGATAGGGAGACTTATGGAGATAAAAAGTAGATACTCTACCTAGTTTAAAGGATACAGGATGCTAAATATCTGTTGAAGTAGGCCAAGAAGGAATAGAATGAAATAACCAAAAGGAAGATTTTAAATTATTGTAGAAATGAAATAGAACAGGATAACAAAGGTTTCAGAGACAAGCTACTGCAGAGTGCAATGTTTTGTGGAAGAATATTTGTTTCATTCTTGGGAAATAAATTTTGACTTCTTAAAAAGTTAGAATTTGAAGACAAGAAATTCTTGTGGTAATTCATTGGGAGCAGAAACAGTTTTTGAAAAGTAATTTCCAGAGCATATAGACAAACCTAAATCTATATCCCTTGGAAAGCTGTGCATTAAGAGGTGAGATGGAATAATTGGATGGATCAAAATATGAACAAGTTATCATTGACAAGTATGCTGCACAGTCATTTTCAGAAATTGTCAGTGGGTCTATAACTTATTGTTCAATTTCATATTGCTATAACAATATGAGGTAGTGCTGATTTTTCCGTTGGTTATAGGAGCCTTGTTCTGCTATTGTGGGCTATGGAAGAAAAATCGACAAATCGATAAAGAAAGGTTTACTTTGGCTGTTGCACACTATAGCAAAAGATTTTGATGCCTTACATGAAAGAATTCAGAAAGATATCACAGAACAAAAAGTCATTGAAGAGCAAGAGAAACGAGAGCGAGCAGAAAGAGTGAAGAAGATAAGGAAAGAAAGGTAGGTAGAGTAAGCCATTTATGTGAAACATTTTATAGTACATTACAGATTGGATTTCAAGGTATTGTACAGCAAAGACCAGAATATGTAGATCTAACATGTAATGCACTCGGTAAATGTGTTTTCATATCAGACATGATATGACATAGTCAAAGGTGTTAATAGTGATAATCTAAGAATGATATTTCCAATCTGACCATTGTTTATTCAAGACAAGCAATAAAGTCTAGAATCATACAGGTGCTCATCATATTTATTGAATTCTAAGGCAGTTTTGTCCTTGATAAGAAATTATGGGCTTTAACACCCTACTTTGTGCCTGGTTGGGGAAAGTTCATTTAGATGCTCTGAAGGATTTGCAAAAGTGGGTACTACTTCAGACTGGTGGAACAGAAAATGCATTTTCCCTATAGTATAATTACTGTACTTAATCTTTATTAGTATTTTCTCATTTTATGCTAACTTTGGGCAATGTGTCCCAGATTCTGAGAGAGTCATAGTATCAGTGTTCCAAATATCAACTAAAATAAAATCAGAGTCCAAGGCAAAGTATTGCTCAAAGTTCCAATTTATTAAGAAAGCCATGTTGGCACATTTGGGGGGAAATCCGAATCTGAGCTTCCTGGTTTTCCCCCACCCAGTTGAAAGTTCATGCTCTTGCCCCCATACCCACGTCCATTACATGGTCCAATCTTCTACTGCCTTGCTGGCAGTTCCACCCATCCAGTTCGGTTAGGTGCAGAGGTGTAGAGACAAAGGATAACCTTGGATTCTAGAAAGGAATTTTATTTTAGCTACATAGCATTTTACTCCATACCATGCCCCCTCCCAATTTCCCACAATAGAAACAGCATAGTAGAATAATAGAAAGTGTGGCAGGCCAAAGATCCAAAAAGGAATATGGCTGCAGGCCTGACACCTACATGCAGAATTTATCATGATTTGATATCATATTTGAATTATAGCCAAAAAAGAAAGCAACTTATCATCTATACCAATGATGGCGAACCTTTCTGGCACAGAGTGCCCAAACCAGAAGGTGCACGTGTGCATCAGTGCATGTGTGCCAAAGCGCCGGAAACCCGAAGACCAGCTGGCCAGCGTGCATGCATGTATCGGAAATCCAACGACCAACTGGCTGAGTTGGGGTGACAGACGCGTGCCCACAGAGAAGGCTCTGCGTTTCACCTCTGCTACACGTGCCATAGGTTCGCCATCATGGATGTATACATTCAACTTCTGAAGAAAACAGTGTTTGTTTTTAACAATTTAATACATGTATTAACTTGTTCATTGAATATGGAATTTTAAAAAAAACTAGATCTGCCACTTCTAGCAAGAAGGAAAACTTAATACTTTTTTCTGGCCAGTGGGTAGAATTCTGTTTTTTTTTTCACCCTTTAGCTTTGCTTTTATAAGGAAGTACGGTAGTAACTTTCTTTATGCTCCATCTTAAAAGCCAAGAATAACCAATAAAATATAAAACATAAACATTGGGATATATAATTGGAGAGGCTGCAAAAGAAGTATGAAATTATGTAGATGACTCTAGCATCTGACATCAACTACTGTGATGTCAGTAGTTTACTGTGACAAAACAGGTTGATCTTTAAAAGAAAGAATGAGTGGCTTTAGAGTCAGGCTGATATGGACCAGGCCAAGCTAGGGATACCTTAGCAGCTCCTCTCTTTCCAACAAACATGGGCAACTGTGGTGATAATCTTGACCTCTCACAGACACACTGTGGTAATAGCAATGGCAGACACACCTAACAACAGTCAACACCATCAGCAGTTCTCTGACAGGATACATAGAAGCTGGTAAAAGCATGGAAGTGCTCTTATCTCCCTGCTGCAGACCAAGACTAAGTATAATAAATCTGCCCATTGCTAGAATGGTGATAAGAGAACCAAATGTCAGAACTGTCAGTATGTGAGTAGACACATATTCCATAACACAGGAATAAGTAGGACATGAATCATAACAATGGTTTTAATTTCTGACCAAACAAGAACAAATAAAATGGCTTAAAATTTCAGAATTCAAAATTGGACCAGTTTTATTATTCAGATAAATGTAACCTGATAGGGATTTCTTAGTGACTCTTCACTATATTTAAGTTTTCTTTTAGCTAACTAGAAAAATAGTAAGATATGCTTTTAGTCAGCATACCAATGTATGATGGAAATATACCTTATTCCTGAAAAGAATACTCACTAACTTCAACAATTTAAAATTTATAGTCATTTAATTATTTATTTTACATTTACCAAATATTTAGAATTGATAATTCCTTGATATTTCCATCTTTTCAGTTATACATAAATTCATATAATATTTTTTTAAAATATACAAATTCAAGTCAAACTTAATCAGGCAAATAAAACATATTTTTATTATCTTGATATAGGAAATCTGTTTGGTTTATAACCATTTATTTCTGTTGAATTCAGTTTTGATTTTAACCCTTTGCTTTAAGGGCAGAACAGAATATATATTTCAATAAATTTTGAAAGCTAAGTTTTTCTAATAGAAGAATTGTAAACAACGTTTCACATTAATTGTCTTCAGGTCAGTTCTTTCAACTTCATGTCCATCTTTTACAAGTTTATCAATAATTACTGCATTTTGATGTAATGCATATGAACTGTTTTCAAAATGTGTAATATCCTAAGAATTTTTAATTTTAGTTCATTCAAAATATCTTCTTAAAATACCACCAGAGAACAAAAAGAGAGAGAAGAAAATGAACGGGAAGGAAGGAGCATTTTGGATGAAGACGACTCTGAGCCTGTAACTGGAAACCCGTTTCAGGCCATATCAACTATAATCACTAAGGTATTGGAACAATCACCCCCGGAAAATATTTGTGACAAATCAATTCATTGTTCATGAGTGCTTTAGCCAGTATTGTGTGTTTTTGAAACAAATTCAAATTCTTTTATATTTGGCCCTTTTTCCTTTTTTTGTGCTTTCTGGTTATTTCTTTATTTTTCCTTTGTTTTCTGTTTAATTTTTCTTGTTCGTCTTATTTTTGTTATTAATAACTATGTTTGCTTCCCTACTAGACCCTTTTGCTTGATTGATAACTAATTATGATGTATTGGGAAATTTGAACCCATTGCTATATAACATAATATTTTTGATAAGTCTCTATCAAAATTTCTTTTGAGATTCTTCTTATCTGACTATACCAAAGTAATTTGTATTTTTCCAAAACACAGAAGAATTTGTGTTCCTGTTCTGGGATGCATCATGTAAGAGAAGGCTGTGCTAATGTTAGGTTGCTATTTATGTGTAGAAAACCAGAGGGACTTATTTCAGTCCTATGTTAGGACTATTCCTTCTACCTTTGATAAATCATTGAGATTAAGAGCCATTAAACTTTCTGAGCTTCTCTTAGGCAGGTTCAGGCCATTAACTTTGTCAGAAGTGTAACTGGTTTCTATTTCAATAATAGCTTTCTGTTGTCTTTTCTAATACTGGCCTCCTCTAATTGTTTTCTCTAAGTTTTTAAGCTTCCTTTTATTGTGGCTTCCTGTTTCCACAGCTTTTTTTCAACAACTACCTACTTTTTCTATGCTTCCTTAATTCTGTAGGTGGAGAAAAAATGTTCAGCCTTCTCTGAAAATCAGGTGATATTTTTTATCTGGTTTGGATAGGATTGGTAAGAACTATTCTAACACTAAATATTAAATATACATATATAATATGCATGTTTCGTTACATTGCTTAGTGTAAGGTCACTTTTGCTTTAGTTTAGTCTGTTATAGTTGTGTAAGTTGTTTGGACCTTTCCTGTAAAGCTGGATTCTAACCCAGTTGCCAATTCCTGCTTGGGCTTTATAAATGTTGTTCTCTATCATATATTCCAAAAACTCATCTATATTTTTTTCTTTTGTTAATTCAGGGATTTTAATATTTTGAGACCTTTATTATGAGATGAGGAAGGAGATCTTATGAAGAAGAAGATCTTATTCACATTCCTAGAGTAGTTATAACCATAATTATGTACTACTATTATTTCTTTCAGTTACCCCAAATGAATCCTTCTTTCTGATTATTCTTGATCTAGTCTCTCTTGTCTCTGTTTCTGTCCAGCGTCTGTCCTATTCTTAAGAGGTCCTTCGGTGTAACTTAAATACTGCCCCCCCCCCCAGAACTTTATTCCTCCCATAAGAGGAAAATTCTCAGCACTTTCAATGCCTTCCATATTTTCAGTGGTTTCTTATTTCTGTGCTGCTACCAGATATGAACAGATGTGTTTGGTCCCAAATACTATTAAGGCAAGATTAAATACTTAACTAATTTTTGTGGTGGCAAGACCAATTTTTAAAATTTATTTTATCAATTTACTTTTCTTTTACATTAACTGCTGCCTGCTATATGTGTACACATTTTTGTCTTTTCCTAAGGATCCCTTGCCTGGAGGCAAAAGACACAAAAACAAAAATTATTTCAAAGTTCTCCTAGGATTTTGGTACCTTATTTGCTTTTCTACTGTTACAGCTCTTGAGCCGTTTCTCCTGTAAGGATTCCTTCATCCCTGCCATCCAGTTGTTTAACAACAAGGTCAATCCAAAATCTTTTTTCTAGATTCTACTTGCTATTGCTGGTGTTTCCTACTGAACATATCTATTTCTTTGCTGACCTCTTCTTTCAATGTCTCTCTTGATGTCTTTGATCTCTTAATTCTTTGCCAACATGAATAACACCTCCAACTGCTTATAAGAAATACAAGCAGAACTTCTTTTTCTTCCAATTTGTCCCATATAATGGCAATCAGTTTCCTAAATATTATTAGTAGTCAATAAAGCAAAGAAATAAAAAACCATAAAATAGCATCAGTGAAGCAATATTCACAAAAGATTTGCATTAAATTTGGTACTCTTTTATTTATGAAAGGATGCCAGACTTTTTGCAAGTTCTGCAAGTTGACTTTAGGGGAAAAAAACCTAAGTGAAATAAGTCATTATTGCTATTTCATGCTGGATAACTGAGAAGGCCAAAGAATTTTTTTTTAAAAAACACCCATAAGTATATTTTCCATTTGATTATAGAAAGGCTTTTGATTGTATCGATCACTTCAAGCCATGGAATGTATTTATAAAAATAGGAACACTGGAACATTTTATTTTCCTGATGCAAAATTTATTAAAGGGACAGCAAGCTACATGGCAAAACAGATTGGTTCCAGGCTATCAAAAGCATGTATGCTTTTCCCTTTTAATAAATTTGTGTATATGCAGAGTGTATGTTAAGGCAAACTGGATTTGAAGAATATGAGTGTGTTTTTAAAACTGACTGAAGAAACATCAATAATCTATGTAATGCTCATGGCACTATTCTGATAGCTGAAATATAATATATAATAATTAAACTATGAACAATAAATGAGCCAATAGTCAAGAAATATGTCACAGACTAACACTTGATAGAGTAGCATCAAAAGTCTTGGAAAATATATTTAGATGCCAGGATCTCAGAATCAGAATGGTGCAGGCATTGGTTTTTTTTTTTCCCCTCGTGTCATTGTGTGGAAGTTGAAGTTGGACTTTGAAAAAAGAATCAGAAGAGAAAGTATTGCTGCTTTTCAACGTTAATATTGGGGAAGATTTCTTACAATGTAATGGATAGCCATGAAACCAAACAAATGGATCATAGAATAAAAGTGTTGCTCATTTAAAGCAAAAATGTTCAGACTCAGATTATAATACTTTGGCCAGTTCAGGCAAATGAGCTACTTCTCTGGAGATGTCTATAATGCTGGAAACGGTGAAAGCAAAGAGAAGAGGACAGCTAGCAGTAAGGTAGTTGAAGTCCATTTCAGCAGTGTGGGCAGAACATGGTTGAAAGACCTGAAGGATCAGATTATAGACAATTCTCTTGGAGAAAATCTATTTACGTGATTGTGAAGAGTCACTACAAACTTGATGACACATAATCAGTCAAAAGATATCAATTTTGAAAGATACCAAGTTTTATAATTGGTGTGTTTTTAATTAATTTCTTGTAAAAATAGTCCAGAATATGAAAAAAGCTGCCATGATATCAGAATCAGTATAAGTAATTAAAGGCAGTATAAGGTAATTAAATTAATTCACATGGGGAAAATATTTACTTAATATTTTAAATCTATTATCCATAGCAATATGTCAATAAAATTGCATAGAAATCCATAGGGTCATATAAAGAACTGAACTAAGGCCATTGAAAATATTTTCACAGTAAAATTTCAAATACCTGAAATTCAAAACAATTAAAATGTGAAGTTATATAAGCAGTTTTCTTAGAAGAGCTGAATATTAATTAGAGGCTCCATTATATGAAATTTGAGATTATTTTATATTATTGATTATTTGTTATCCAGTATGAAAGGCTAGTTAAAAACATAAATATACTGTATTTTTTGGACTATAGGACTTACCGGACTATAAGATGCACCTAAATTTACAGGAGGAAAACAAGAAAAAACAAGAAAAAAAGTTTTTGCCCTCTGAACACTCTGCAGTACTCCACACAATGTACTCCACACAAAGACATTTTTGCCAAAAATGGGCCCATTTTTAGGCTCCCAAGCCCTCCATGCATCACATTTTCGCCCTTCCCAGCCCCCAGAAACACCCTGCAGGCCAAAAGCAGGAACATTTTTTGGCAAAAATGGAGCATGCAGAGTGCACATGGAGCTCTTGGAGCTCCAAAACACCCATATTAGGTCTATAAGACACATCTAAATTTTCACCCACTTTTTTTAGGAGCGGGAGAAGTTGTGTCTTAACTCTGAAAAATAAAGTAGATCTTAAGCTTGCCATGATTTGTGTGTGTGTGTGTGTGTGTGTGTGTGTGTTGCATTTCTGCGACGTTATCATGGAAAACATCTTAAGAATCTGAAAGTGCAGTTATAAAAAATATTGATTTAGTGCCTGATCTAAATCCATAATAATGTATAAAAACAGTTTTGTAAATTTAATATTTGAAATGTATTTCAATAATTCTTTTAAAGTATCCTCTGATTTGTTGTTGACATTAACTCCTCCCAATTAACACTTGATATGCTGCTGTAATAAATTGAATTTTCTTCTATATTTTGTTAGAATGAAAAGAAAATTGAAAAAGAGAAGAAGAGGCAAAGGGAAGAGAATGAAAAGATTGCTATTGGCTTGAAACCTAAAACAAATCAGGAGATAATAGATGTTCAGAGTCTGAACAGTGAGCAATCCAACGAACAGAGACTGATAGAAAACTATAAATCTGCAATAACACAACAAATAGAACACGAAGATGAGAATGACCAGCAGATCTCAGAAAGTCTTGACTCTGGTGATAATGCCACTTTGAATCCAGGAACAGGTAGACTGATAAGAATTTGTAAATGCTGTGTTACCAGCCAATTTCTCTTAGATCTTCATATAGACTGCTTCTGATTTCTCAGAATAATTTAGTAAGAATTGATGAATAGCTTTTCTATTTACTCTGGAAAAAAACAACAGAAAACTATTTAGTATTCTTTCACATTTTTTTTTATTCAAAGGATCTTGAGTGAGAGACTGGTGATATTTAATTTTTTACTGCGGTTTGCAGAGGTTAAAATACCTTTATACAATTCCTGTTAGTTTTTCAAAAGTTTATTTCAACATTTGAACTTGGAGAGAGAGGAGAACATAGCTGCTAGGCAACCTTTTTTAAAAGGACAAGGAAAACATGAGCTGTCAAGCAATTGATTTTTTTTAATTAAGTGACAAACTTAAATTCCAGGAGTCTATCATGAATATATAGACGTAACTGAACATTACATAATTAAGTAAGAACTGTGTGCTTATTGCCAAATAAATTTGTGGTATACTTTAATTAAAATCTGTCTTTATGTATGCACAGATGTTTTCTACTTGCAGTTCAAATTCTTTATGTAACATCAATTATTTATTTATTTATTTATATTTGATTTAGAAAACAGTAAAAAGAAAGCAAAGAAACTAAAATTAAAAAGGAATCATCGAGTTGAGCCAGTCAATTCAGAAGAAATTGTTTCCCCACTTCCTACTCCAATTGCAATTCATGCACCAGGTGAGCACAATGTGTATCAGTGTTTAAAGGTCTTGAACACATGAATTATATAACTTCACATGAAGTATTTAAAAAGAAAAGATTTCTAGAGTAAGTATATGACACTGGTAACTATTGTGATGAAATGCCTAGCAGATCTTGGGAACATAAAAAAGGCAGCAAGAGAACTAAGGAGAGTTAAGGGTAATGAAGAAGAAAGTCCAGGAAAAAAGAAAAGCACGAAAAAGATATTTAGAGTAACACTGCCTTAATTATACTATACTATATACTTGTGGGGGAAAGTTATTTTTATGGTTCATGATTCTGTTATATTACCTAATTCACAATAAAGATATTTGCAGATTATGGCTCACAAACTCATAAAACAAGAACTATTTGAATTTCTGGAAATAAATTTATTGCTAATAGAGTAATATTACAGATTCTTGAAAGCTTACTAAATAATTCTCCCACTTAACATACATTGTTAAGGCAGCTTTACTCTGAGTCTTTTTCTCATGCTTTCCTCTATTCCCTGGACTCTTATCTCTTAGAAATGACACTGTTTATTCTCTGCTTAGTTCTGTTGTACCCTTGTGCTCCCAAGGTCTGTTAAATATTCCATCCCAGAAATTTACATGGCACATGAAAAAAGCCTGGCTTATAAAAAGGAATGATATCTTATTCTTCAGTTGAATGAGAGAGAGATAACAAAATTAAAAACTTTTACTTTTATTGCAAACTAAACATTTATTTTGTCTCATTTTATTTTTTGAGGGGGGGCGGGTTATAAAAAATAGTGTCATAAGACCTGTATAGAATATTGCTTTATTTGTTTGTTTATTAAATTTTATGCCTTTATCCGCATCCGAGGAATAAATTTTCAATATCAGAGTCTTATCCTACGGAAATTAACTTATACCCCAATATGTCTACCATGCTCATCAATAGTAAAAGTTCTGATTTTCTTAGTAGCTTGAGATTTACTTTATCAGAATTGTTTGATTATATAATTGCTGTTTGATATTTTTTCTTTTTCTTTTTGGCAGTTGGATGGGAAACACCAAAAGTTAACAGAATTCGAAAACTTGAGCCCCTTGGTGAAACTCATCATAATGGTAATTTCAGTGGAATTTGTCCTCAGCAACATATATTTTATTTTGCATATTGGCTTAATTTTTTTAATTTTGACTAATTTGATGCTTCTTTAAGAACAATCCATAATTTTCACTCCTTGTTTTTCTCTTTAAACTATATGTAAATGGCATCTAGTTAATTTTATTTCATTCTCTTTGCTTCAGGACAAATATGTTGCTTATTGAGGTGGCCATGTAGTTAGTTGTATATTGCTCAGAGGGGAAAAAAATAGAACACATTAAAGTGCAAAGGACCATATCCATTCTTAACTATTCACCCAAAGAAGGTCTGCTATGAATTGCTATAAAAAGATTTTAAGTAATATTGAAGATCACACTTGAAATAGAAGAAAAATATCTTCTGAACAGACAAGCATTCACAAAATCTTTATTCTTTCTCTTCTCAACACCTATAAATATTGAACCTTAAACATAGTTTAATCAATTGCTAAATTTTATAAGGTGCGGCAGAAGGGAGGTAGAATTGTTATGAATTAAATAGGCAAGAAGACACTGTGTGCCTATAGTTACTTATCTGAATATCTAGAAACCATTTGTAAATACAATGCAGTTTTTATTAGCATATGGTTTTCTAAAAATATAATTTTGCTGTTAATCTTATTGATAGTAGGTGAAAAGTTTTAATTCTTTCTTAGTAGATACTGATTTGTAATATTCTCTTTATTGAGGATAAGAATTATTATTAATAAGAATTGTTGAATGATAGAATATATGTCATATATGTATGGTTGGTGTTCATTCTCAGGACCTCTAAAGTGATCTTGAGCAATAACACTGCAAAAGACTAATGCCTGGCATGTTAGCATGTAATATTAAACTAGATCAAGGTTATCCAACTTTCTCTAGCTAAGGGCTATGTTTTACCTTTGAATGGAATACCTAAGGCCATACTTCAAAAAAAAAAAAAGAGGACATGGTTAGACAAAAACTAAATTTTATTTCATCTATGGTTGAATGCATTTAAAATTAGTTAATTAATTACAGTTAATATGGCGAGCCCCATATATTTCATTTTTCCCCTTCTTTCACATTGAAATTTATGAAGTAGCAACTTTTGGAAGAGTTGTATAATGATAACTAAGATGTTCAAGCTTTACTTGCAGCACTATGGCCTCAGAATATACTTCTCTAGATTAGAATTTGTATGGAAAATTTATGTGTGCATAAATCTATATTTTGTACATAAATTGATTTCCTTTGCTATAGACAACCGTATAATTTTCAACAGTTTGTTTAATATCCATATTTCTTTTTAAGGAGTATAAAGAAAAGAAAATGAGAGAAAGGACAAAAAAAAAGAGGTAGGGAGGAGAAGGGCCATGTTTTTGGATTATAATCTTTTTGCTCTTAACTATCGGCCTGATTGTATCTGGGGTTAAAGTTGTCATTTCTTGGACAATAGTTTTCTTAAAAAGTGGGATAAAATTATTCTTACGCAAGAAATACTTCTGATAGCAATAAATCAAGTTTGTGAAGTTGTACAGATGAGATATTTCCTATAAGTTTGATTTTCAACTCGCTCAAAAAATACAATTACTTTCAATTTTGCATGTACTTCTTTCAATTTTTCTCAATATTTCACTTGAAAACATGACAACTTTGAGATGATGAAAGAGATACAGAAAGAGATCTAGAATTTTAGATTTTTAGCTTCCTTGTAATTGAACTTTTCTATAATTTAGGCCTTAAAAAACAAATATACACCCAATTTTATTCTTCCTTGTTAAATATTTTTCTATAGTTTTATTCTTGTTGTTTTTAAATAAAATTATATTTAGGTTTAAATCAGCTACTAAGTGACGTTGCGTTTCTTGAGTAAGAGACCAGTTTCAGTCATCAGTCTTTATAGCAATAGCAATAGCAGTGGACTTATATACCGCTTCATAGGCCTTTCAGGCCTCTCTAAGCAGTTTACAGAGTCAGCATATTGCCCACAACAACAATCTGGGTCCTCATTTTACCCACCTCGGAAGGATGGAAGGCTGAGTCAACCCTGAGCCGGTGAGATTTGAACCACTGAACTGCTGAACTAGCAGTCAGCTGAAGTGGCCTGCAGTACTGCACTCTACCCACTGCGCCACCTCGGCTCTTTAGAAAAAGGAAAGGGAGTTGCGAAATTCTGATCAGGCTGGGCAAAAGGAACAGGGCAGGAAACTATAGTGGAGAAGGAGCACAATGACCCTTACCTCCAGAATCTTAAATATCAGGGAAAATTTAGCAACAGAATAGAGAAGTCACAATTCCAAACTATAGAATTATTAGATACAGATATTCCTCCTGCAACAATCATAGATGTGTGCCACTTGCAAAGCCCATCAGTTTGACTACAGATATGCCATGACAGCCATATGTTGCACTCATGTATCAGCTGTGAAAAGGGCAAAATCTGTCCTGGTGATCATTAGAAAAGAGACAGAAAATAAAATTGAAAACATTGACATTCCTTTATAGTAATTTGGTATACTTGCATCTGGAATGCTGTGATCAGTTTGTCAGCATGTTTTTAAAAGGATTATAATATTTTTGGGAAAAGTGAAGATTATGGAAATGAAAACTACTAGGGTCTTGAACCCCTTCCTTATGAGAAAGTCTAGAACATATTTAATTTAGAAAAAGTATAAGTGACTGGAGACTAAGTTAAAAATTGAGGTACATGATATCATGCAATAGATGGAGAAAGTGAAGTGAAGTTTTTCCTCCTTTCCCCCAGGAGCCGTACTGTGAACCTGACTGAAGGTTTTAGAAAAAGTACTTTGATACACAACAATCAATTTTTGGAATTCAGTATTGCAAGATGTGATGTTCAGTAATTTGGGTGGCTTTTAAAGGGAGTGGATACAATCATGAAGGACAATTCCAGTAAGGGCCATTAGTTCTGAAGACTAAATATTATTTCTCAGCTGGTGGTGTATGCCTTCAAATACAAGTTGCAGAAGAACATCAGCAGGATGATTGAATGTCTCTACCTCCTGTTTCTGTGCACTGCTGGAGCATAGGTTGGCCAGAAAAAGCAAAATACTGGACTAAGACAGACTTAGGTCTGATTCAGCAGTTCTCCTCTGTGAAAAGGATCTTGTTATCTTAGAATATTATTGTAAGGATTTGTAACCAAATTAGTTGCATTATGTAATCCAACTCTACACTTGAAGTATTTTTCATTTGTAGAAAATATATAGGAAATACATAATATTCTGTTAATGCCATATAAAATAAATAAAAACATACCTTAATATTTTGCAACAGATTGAAATTTCATAGGTTTTCTTCGTTGTAGAGTTTAAACAGTTTGAACAGATAACATTAATGATCAATTTATATCATGGAGAGGAACGAGGAGTATTGATAAACAAAAGGAAAACATAATGTTTCAATAGATATGACTTAAAAATCTCCTAAAAATTGGTGAATATAATCAATGCAACATCCTGTTCTGCCTCTTCTGAATGCATTCACTATCTTTTTATAGCTTTATAATTTTGCATATTCTAAGCCTGCCTGATGAATGTCTTTTAATTCTTTTCTAAAATGGATGTTTCTGTTCTGTTCTAACATGGTTTAATAATTTGACACTTGCCTTGTTTTCCTTTTTGATATTCTGTTTACATTAAAAAATACATTCATAAAAATCCTTGGATACTTGGTTTTGCAATTGAGTGCAATCTGCTGTTTACATCTCCAAATCACTAAGGTTTATATCTACTTTAAATCTTCAATGTTGGTTGCTGCCGATTTAGAATTAGTTGGGGAAATAGGGAAAAAGATGCTTCTTAAAGAAATGGTTCTCTGAAATATTCCTTTTATTTTCTGTATTCTTATTGATTTGATCAATATTTGAAACATAAGGTGAGTTGAGAGTGGCAGTGCCAGGGATAATTATGTATAATAAAGAATACTAGCCATCTGGTATCAGTTAATTTAGATTGTTCTTATTATGTTTAACCAAAAATTCCTTTATGTTTTCAACATAAATTTGTACCAGTCGGGAACAAATTCCTCCATATGTCTAGGATAGGGTAGTTGTGGGTGGAGTATTTGTAATTCTAAAACTGTTTCAAGTGTGTTTGTCTTTTTACAAGTCATTCTGAAAATAAAAGTTATAGCCAGAAGGAATGACAAAAATGTAAAAGAGAGATTGTGAAACTGATAAACATGTATAACAAACATGTATCTTTCAGTATATAAATTTTGCACAAGATAGAATTATCAGACAAAAGCTAAAGATTTCTATATGCATATTAAAAAAGTAGAGAATTTCATGCTTTTTTTTCTGTTCAGTTTACAATAGTTGGATAAGAGGGATATTGTCTGTTAATTTGATTTCTTTTCTAATTTGTGCTTTAGATTTCTATGGAAAGCCATTGCCGCCACTTGCTATCCATCAAAGACCTAACAGCGATATGCATGGTGTTATTTCTTAACCAGCAGTCACTTTGTAGCTTTCAAGAGGAATCCAAAATAACATTACATTAGACATTGCTTTCTTTTTTGAAGAGATACCTGCTATTCTTACAAGTTGCTGGGCAAGGGCATCATGGTTACATTGGGTTCCTGGTAAGAATGTTTCTTTTAAATGTTAACAATCCTGCTTCCTCAATTTACCAGCTACTCTTCAAAGTTGATATGGAACAAGGAAACTCATACAAGCAGAATTCTTGCAAAAGAAATGACAACAGGATATTTATTTCCCTTGCTGAAAACAATACTCTCAAGACCAAACTCAACTTGATTATGCACATACATGCTTTCAGTTTGGCTAAATATTTTTCTATATTCAACACTTCAAGAGTTTTTTTTAAAAAAGTACATGCATGCTCAAATGGGAAAAAATACAAACTGTACATTTAAACAATTTGATATATTTTTATAGCATTTTATTTGTTTTAAAGAAATTATTTGGTCAACAGAACTATTTTGACATACTAAAAGTCCTACCTATATTCATAAGTATCTACTACATTTTTTTGGAAAAGCAATATACTTGTGTGCAATTTGCTTCACAGTTTGCCTAATTGTTAATTATGTCATTTTATCTTGTTCTTTGTCTATCAGAAAGAAATGTGCATTGGAAGGAAACTGTATTCATGTTTTCCTTGATGGGAAACAGCACTTTGGAGTTAATTGACACGATTAATTTTATGTTCTTGGAGCTAGAGGGAGAGGGAACCTTTTGACTTTCCAAAGGACAGAAAGAAATGTCCTTCAATTACTGTACAGAGTATTCATGGCTAGTGCTCTTGCAGTACTTGTTTCATCTTGGGGAACATGTGAACATATGGATTGGGGAACTAGGGCTGTGGGTCACTTTAAAGTAAGTAGAAGTAGAATTGTAAAATTGAGTTATACCTCCTTACACCAAATGTAACAAATGTATCTTCTCCCAGGCTTATGAGGCAAGCTTAGCTATTTTAAAGAGTAATAGGTGGATGCAATGTTCATGTTCCTTCACAATCCAAGCCTTGGCTTTGAATTCAAATTACTCCATAACCTTTATTTCATTTATGCAGGCGCATTTCCTCATTACATTGGGGTTTCATATATACTGAAATAAATGAAAATGTTTATATAAAAAAGGTTATCTTTCTCCCCTGAAGATTTTTTATTGCTTTAGTGGTTGATAATTGCAAATATTATTCTAACATCATTTCTAAAAATATTTAAACGCCTTTCTTTAAAAAAACATTGCAATCCATTTTTACTTCCTTTTTCTTCATTGCATATTAGGGGTAAATGATCAAAATTTGCATATGATCAGAGGTTTCTCTATATGTTCAGCTAGTGAAAATAATTGAATGGCTTACAAATATCATAAAGCCTTAATACTAAACTGAAAAATCTGTGAATGTAATGAGGTTTGGAAGTTCTCACCTTCCAGCAACATCTTATTCAAAAGCTTCTGTTTCTTTGCAGTTTAAACTAATGCTTTTGTTCTGCTTGATAAAAGTAACGCCCATGTCATGAAACCAATCGGTTTGAATCCTTTCATACATGATCCATATCTATCCTAAAGTCATATAAAAATAGTCTCATAAACATAGTCAGTTGCATGCATACAAGCTGAATGAGCTTGCTGTTGTAAGATTACTTTCTGACTAATGTAAAAAAATTATGTGCATAATTCATGGTACATAATTGTTTCCATATATATGGAATTCCTGAATTTTTAGATCACAAAAATTGATGTTTGTTTTTCATTACTCCTTTTAGTTAACACTCAAACCTGTTAAGGACTGTCTTACTTTCTTGAAGCTCAAAAACATTTTTCCTCTCTCAAGGCTTATGCAATAGGACTTCCTCCTTACCCATGCTGTATTTTTCTCTGCCTCCAGTCCTCAAAATCTGTTTCAAATAGAAGATTTTCTATGTGGAGAACATTTTGAGGGCAACTCATGGTTAGGGAGAAATACTTATCTTCTATTTTATTAGTGGAAATAGATTCAATAATGAAGCATATTCATGGGATTTTTGTTGTTATCAGATGCATAAGTACTAGGAATGTATTTTTAACATGTTGATTTTCCTTTTGTTTATTATGGATTATTTATTGAATAGTACGTTGAATGTTTTTATGTCTGAAATAAAAATACACAGAAATGTGATTTAATATTTCATAGTACATTTCACTTCATCTGGAACACAGTTTTTATTTTCTTAAAATTGTCAGTAAGTTTCATTAAAGACTGGCTAAAGAATCAGTTGAAGTGTGATATATTTTCAAATTTTCCCAAAGCATTTGAGCACAAGGTTGGATGGAGTAAGACTTCTGTTTCAGAAATTATTTTAAAGAAATACTGTGGCTCTTGTGTGAGCACATCATTTCTCCATTCCTCATTTTACCAACCGTATCCATTCGATCGTGGAGGTGGAGTGGGGGAAGCAGTGCTTTAAAGGGTTGAGACTAAAAAGGTGAAATGACTTTAAGGAGTTAGTTCATTGAAGTTAATGTACTTTAAAGCAGCTACTACTTTTTCCAGGTTTCCTAATGTAGAGCAAGAGTTAGCAACTTGGAGTCTTAACAGCTTTTGGACTACAGCATCTTAACACCTACAAAGCAGCAGTTTGCTTATCTCTGCTGTAGAGACCAGCATACCCTCTTGTTACTTAGCAAAATGTATCAGTTTGAAAAACTGCAAATCTGCTTCTTTGGATAAATGGCAGACATGGCAAATGTACAACTCACAAACATCAGCTAGTTGAGATTCACCCAGTTCATTACTTTGTCTAAGTGCTACTTCAGAATATCAATTGCCTCACCTATGCTAGGTTTTTTAAAATGGAGAGGGAGAGCTTGGAATCATCCATGTATTTTTGACATCTCAGTCTATATCAGCCTACCAGCAGTTTATGTAGATGTTAAATGGAACAATGAGGGAATTCATAGCCATAAAAATGACTATAATGCATAGATCTTTGTGATTCTGATTTTTACACAGTATTCACATGAAACTACCATCAAATCGGACATCTGCATTTACTGAGCCGTTACAGTTATAGTCCCAGCTGGTTTTGATGCTACTCAAACAAAAAGGCCCCAGACTGAAATGGATCATGAATGCCAATGAAATTTCCACTCAAATGAAACCACAATCACATGTAATTAATCTGCATATAATTAACCATAAAATAAATGTTAGAATTTAGTTTTACAACTGGTTGTCCTATGATTTGCTTCAAGAAATCCTTTGGAGCTCATTTCTATAGGTTCATTTTTGTAAGTCTCCAGTATTCCACATCTTATCCCATTCCTTAAGCAGCTTGAGCATTGCTCCAAATGAAGAATTACTGACCAACTGACAAAATGAGTGATCAGATTATAAACATTTGCTATTAATGTCACCAAAAATGTACATTTTATATGGGATCCAGCTAAAATTTTCCAATTGTACATGACACCTATCTGACCTGATTTCTGATACCACCACCATGCAAACATATAAAACTCTGATTTGGACCCTATCAAGTTTTTTCATTGGGTGTATCTGCACTAATTGTTTCAAAATGACATAAAAAATGCAGATCCAAGAGATGCATCATTGTGTTTTTAAGATTCAGAAACAATTACTAGGAGCCAATGAGGATTAGTGAAGTACCAAGGGGATCCAGGGTCTGCCTCCCTAGAGAAGCCCATTAGTACCATTGGGCCAGCCTACGTTGCAGGGGTTTTTTGAGAGAAAATGGGAGTACTATGTAATTTGCCTTCAACTTCAAAACAGAAAGTAGAAGATAAATGAACTACTTTTCTAGTGTTAGTAAGAAAAACTAGATGGACTGTCCTCTTAGTAGAAATTAAGGGAGCCTTGGTTTTTCAATAAAGCATCAATTATGTTTGAAAAAAAGAATACTGGAAAGCAAAGATCAGACTCAAGTAGATCCTGTTTTTAGAAGCTGGCTTTTCATTTGCATGCCGTGCTCCCGACCCACAAGGAGTTTTAAAAAAGGAAGATCCCAGCCCCACATTCTCTCCAGCCTAGTCTGATGATGCTGCCGGAGAGGAGTCGTCAGCTCCTCTCCGGCAGGAGGCGCTATTACCCTCCCATCGTCCTCTCTCCGCCAGTGACTCGATTTTCTGAGACGCTTCCGTCGGCCTGATTTTTTTTTTTTTTTTTTGCGGCCGGGCGGGGGGACAATATGCGCGCCGCTTCCAGCGTTGACCATGTTCGCGCGTGGAATCCTTCGGGCGAATTTGGTTGCCGCTCGGCGACACAGAAAGGAAAGTTATTCCTCGGCGGGGAGGAGCCAGGTGAGTGCGAACCGGTTGAGAAGCACCGCACTTTTGCTTCGCCGCGTTTCCCTTGTCTTTCCCAGAATGCCCAGGGTCAACTTTTAAGTGGGTATTGTGAAATTATATCTTATCGGAGAAGGGGATCTTGCCTAGCTTCATTTCACCAGTCAGTCAATCAATCAAGAAAAAGATTTAGACCACATTTCCGGTGTTAAGGGAAAGTTGCGTTTCTCTCCCCCCCCCCCCCCCCCCGCCGTTGGGTTAGAAGGGGCTTCTACAATTTCTTGCGAAAAACAATAGCGCAAATGCCTACGTTTTAGGCGTTTTCTTCCCACTATACCTTCAAAAGGTGTAAGCGATGTGAATAACCCCTATTGCAAATAATCTGTCCCTGAAATCGGTCTATTTTAGGGACATTTACCAGTTAAAATGTAACTTGCATACAGGGAATTTATGCTCTCTTTCTCTCACACATGTCATATCAGAAAGAGTCCACATCAGAAAGAAAGCTTCAGAAGCAAATATGCCAGGCGGTTCTCAATCATTTCGAGAAACAATACTCTGAAGAGTTGGGAGGAGCATGGAATTCAGTAAGGTTAATTTCTGTTTGGTTTGTTTTCTCCTTTCTCTCTCCTTTTGACCCCAATCCATCCTTTTTCAAATAATTAAAATTGTACTTGTCCGAAAACTTTTTTTATTTTATTTTTTTCTTATAAAATGGAGCCATACAATCAAAGCTGAACTGGTGGTATATCAATCACTATAAAAATATAGATAGCAAAATCCTCCTCCTTAATGATCATGCTCTTAATTCAATATTTCCTGATATAATATTTAGGAATATAGCTCCCATCATTCCCTGGGGTGGGATGGTTTAGGAAAGGGACAAGATTGGCACTAGTCAGCATTCCATACTGGAGTCATTTGACATGTATGCAGACCTTATGAATGATTTATTGTAAGATGAACATTACAGCTTGATAAAATTATTTATTTTGATGTCAATTTCAAAATAAATGCTTTGATGGTTTTTTATAAAAGTGTAGCAAGAGGCAGAAGAATTGCTCCTGTAGCAGGATCTACAATTTCCTAGCTAATTCTGCCTGGTGT